TTTTCAAATGACTGGAGTTTAGAAAAACAGGTATAGAGTGACTTGTGTTGGAATTCCAGTTGCACCTCTTTACTGACTGCACCCTCCGCAAGTGCCTGATTTCTCTGAGCCTCAGTGCTCTCATCTGTGAAATGGGATTGAAAGTTCCTGTCTATGAAGGAAATTGGTGGCTGTGAGGGGAAGAAGGCCTAGGTGTCTCTGTACAGACTCCTCAACCTGTGCCACAATAAATACTGCTTTAAAATACCTAAAAGTGTTCTCTCGATCAATAAACAATCTCTTTTACAGTATAGCATTTTCTTCTATGAACAAGTCATGGCTAGCATTGTATTCCCGTCACCATGCATTAGCAATGATCCTTGAATAACCTTCCTATGAGTTTGCAGTTTCTGAGGACTGTACTTGCACCCTGGCTCTGTGCAGAGAAGCTAAACCTAAATTATTTCTCTCAAGTAATTAAAAAGATCTCAGTTAAAGGTGGGTTTGTTTTTTTGCTAAAGAATATCCAAAGTGTTATAATTAACTAAGAGATGATTCTTTAGTATAAACGTTTTACCTGAAGTAGCTTGTTGTATCCAGAAAAGAAAAAAAAAGGCCAAATTAAAGGAGTGTTGTATCTCGTACTAACCATCACTGTTCTCTCTTATTTTAGTCTTCATCCTCATCTCTACTCAAGAGCATACATTAATTTTAGAAACCCTGATGACATCCTTCTTTTTAGAGATCGTTTTGATGGATATATCTTCATTGACAGTAAAGGTTGGATCCTTTGTTTTTTTAAACTCTTTATTATAATCTGTGAGTTTATTAATGAAGTTTTGATGGAATATTTGTGAGTTTTAATTAAGAAGTTCTCAAAGACTAAAACAAGATCATAAATTTTGATTGTGTTGCTGTAATTATGTGCTGATATTAAAATTTAAATTATATATAAACCAAAAAATTCCAGAAATCCTATATAATAGTGACAACCTATTGATGTATTATCATTTATATTTTCATATAAATGAGTTTTCTAAATATGACCTTTATCTTTTTATGTTCCAAAACTAAGTTATTTTACCCGTATGTGATAGGAATTCTCTAAAATGCGTTGTACACTTATATCTGTGTCTTCATGATTGTACCATTTCTTGGTAACGTGAAGAAGAGGATGTGATGGTGACCCTCGGTCACTGGCAGCGACATTTACCTCTGCTCTGTGTGTTTCCAAGTCCCTGTGCTTCTGGGGTTCTGCTTTTGATAGTTTTCCTGTCTCCTCTTCACCACCGTTTCCGCTGCTGTCAAGTCTGTGTACCTCTCACAGCAAACTGTTTTCTGCCCTTCTCTCCTTTGCCAGCCAACCTCTTCCCGCCCCTGGCACTGAAGTGTTTTCTTCTCCTCCACTGAGGGATAACAAACTAGAAAAGACTGTAAAACAGTGACTAAGTTGAGGGCCAAGACATTTCCTGTGAGTAAAATCAGGTTCAGTGCTTAAACTATTTGACATTTCTGTTGATTGCTTATTTATTCAGTAATGTATTCAGTTGCCTTTTTTTTTACTTTTAAAAATATTGGCAAACAACATTTGCCAACATTTGCATAACAACATTTATTGCCACACTGTTTTCCACAGCAGCTGCACCATTTTCTGTTCCCACCAAAGTACACAAGGGTTCAATGGAAGTATGGACGACCTGAGCTGACGTGGATTCCCAGGGAAGATCTGCTAGGGCGAAGTGATTCTAAAGACCAAAGCCTGGAAGACCAGTAGGCACGGCCCAGGAAGAAGTATGGAGAGGGAGACGGACGATTAGATGGACAGGTGAACATACATATGGGATAGCCGTTTAGGTTAAGGACTTGATGCTCTGCATGCATTATGGAGTTGATCTAGGATTACCAGGTATTCTGGCTGCTGCCAGCCTGATTGGGGATGATAATCATTTTCTATTGGAGCTAAGTAAACACAGAAGGAAGATTGCAGATTCGAAGGGAAGAAAATAAATGAGTTTAGTTCAGAAACTTCCAAATTTGAGATGCTTCCAATCAGCCAAAAGGGGGCATATATTAGCAGCCAGGACTGGAAACTTAGAGCGGAGATCTCCTCCAGCTGCCGCTTAACATCTCAAGCTGAACATGTCCAAAACTGGCCCTCGATTTTCTCCCTAATGTGTTTCTTCACCTGCAGTCTTCTCATCCATGTGAGATACTGTCCATCCAGCGCTGCCCTAAAGCAGAACAAATATTCCTTAGCCCCACATCCACTCATCACCCAAAGTCTGAGACTAATTCCAGAACATATCTAAGGAATCTTGCATTTCTCGCTAGCTTGTCAACTGCTACTCTTAGTCCAAGCCCTCTGTCTTCTCTCAGCTGAATTTACGTAATAACCTCTCCCTTTGCATGCCTGCCTGCCTCCCCAGTGCATTCTCCCTCAAAGCAGCCTAGATTGTCCCTTTTGAAAAATCACCTTTTGTGATTCCCTTGTCTCTCCTTTTAATGACTTTTCACTGCAGATAGCCTAACGGTCCCTGGTCAGCTCCCTCCTCCCAGCCCCACCGTCCTGGCCTTGCCAGGGCCTTCAGTATGTCAGGGCTTTCTGCCTCGGCTTCTGCACACACTGGTCCGGTGGTCTGCTCAGGTCTCTGGCTAGAGGGTTGCCCCACCTCAGAAGGCCTTTCTGCTGCCAGACTGAAGCTGGTCTTCCTGGCTATTTCTCTTCTTCTAGAACCTGCTTCTTTCTTCTATAGCGACATGTCCCAATTTGCATTTATAAGTCATTTTTGTCCCAGTTTGTTAATGCCTGACTCAATACCTCAACTATGTCAGACCCCATCACCCTTTTTTTATAACAAGTATTTTCTCACCTATTTATCCTAAAATGAAATCTGTAGGTAATTATAACCTCCCTATACAGCAGAACATCGAAAACACAAAATAAGAGATGCTGACCAGCACATACAGCAGCGGTATTGGGAAAACTAGATATCACATGCAAAAAAATGAATTGGACTTTACCTAATATCACATACAAAAATAATCAAATGAACTAAACCGAATGTAAACTTAAAATATAAAACGTTAGAAAAAACATGGAAGAAATCTCCATAATATTAGGTTTGATAAGAGTTCTGATATGACACCAAAGCACAGGCAACTAAAGTAATAATAAATTGAATACATCAAAATTAAAAGCTGCTGGGCATCAAAAGACACAATCAACAGAGTGAAAGGCAACCTATGGAATGGGTGGAAATATCTGCAAATCATACATCTGATAAGGGGTTAATATTCAGAATGTACAGAGAACTCCTACAATTCAACGACAACCAAACAACCCAATTAAAAAATAGCAAAGACTTGAATGGATATTCTCCAAAGATTATATGCCAAATGGCCACAAGCACATGAAAAATGCTCCACAACAATAATGATAGAGAATGGAAATGGAATCACAATGAGATATCACCTCCAACCATGATGCTGGCTAAGTTTAAAAATAAGTTAGTTGCGAGGATATGGAGTGACTT